ATATATATATATATATATATATATATATATATATATATATATATATATATATTATATATATAATATATATTTATATATATATATGTATATATATATATATACATGTGCAACTATGCGTATTATATATATGAAAACATACATACCTGGATCTATAAAAGAATGAAATTGCTTTCCTGGGCTTTCTCTATCAACCAGCTGCAGTCTCCTCTCTGCATGCATGCATGCATGCATGCGTCTGCATGCATGCATGCATCTGCTGCTGCGAGGCAGCCCCGCATGCAGCCCCAGCATTGGCCGCCAGCAGCCGCATGCGGAGCAATCAAATGCAGTGTATGGACATACACTAAGCTGCTGCGGGCTAGGCAGCTAGCTACTGCTGGCTAGCTAGCTACTGCTGGCTAGCTAGCTACAGCTGGCTAGCTAGCTACAGCTGGCTAGCTAGCTGCTGCTTAGCTGGAGAGACTCTCAAGGGGAGGCAGACTGCAGGGGCTCGGAACGCCGCTCCGAGCTCGGCCGTCGCGGGCCTTCTGTGGCTAGCTGTAGCTAGCTGTAGCTAGCTGTAGCTAGCTGTAGCTAGCTGTAGCTAGCTGTGGCTAGCTGTAGCTAGCTGTGGCTAGCTGTAGCTAGCTGTGACCTGTGAGAACAAAAGAGAAACGCATTGCTGAGCTGCTAGCTTTGTTTGCTGCTGCAGCAGCGCATGCAAAAGGCAGCAAACTCAAAGCCCCAAATATTCATTTTATTTTATTTTATTTTATTTTATTTTATTTTCTGCATGCAGAGACAACCTCTTAATTATTTTGTTTTTGGTTGTCTCGCGCCGCTCAACAGAAAGCGGCTGTGGTGTATACAAGTAGTAGCAGCAGCAGCAGCAGTTGCTGCTGCTGCTGCTGCTCCTGTTGCTGCTGCAGCTGCTCCTGCTGCTGCAGCAGCTGCTTCTGTTGCTGCAGCTGCTCATGCTGCTGCAGCAGCTGCTGCTACTTCAGCTGCTGCTGCTGCTGCTATTGCAGCTGCATTTGTTCAAGCATTTATTGGTTTAGTATTTATTCTAGCTTTGCTGCAGGCGTTGCTGCAGCAGCTGCTGCTGTTGCTGCTGCTGCAGCTGCAGTGCAGCACGTGCTGCAGCAGCTGCTGCTGTTGCTGCTGCTGCAGTGCAGCAGGTGCTGCAGCAG